CACGGGAAAATGACAGCACTGTTTATTTCATTTCATTTGTTTTATCGCATTTGTCAGCTTGTTTTACTTTGTTTCTTTGTTCATGTTCTTACTGTATCTTATCTTATGTATAAAACACTAAAAATGCCTGCACACAGTTGATGTTTTATATTCATTTCATTAAATGTTTATTTTACATTTCAGAATATAAAGCAATGTTAATTCAGCTCTTAATTTGTCATATATATATAAAACAAAAAGAACCGATAAGAATACCGTTAAAGTACCAAATCAATAAGCAGTATCGATAAGAGCAGTAATACCGTTAAAACCTTAACGATACCAATATCTGTCTGCCACACAAGAAATTAAGGCAGTTCAACTCGGTACTAGCAAGATATAGCAAATAAAGTGGTCAGTGAGTGCAGGACTTTCAAAGACTTCAAAAAGACTTCAAAAAGACTTCATGCCAATATTGTGATTAGCATAACTAGAATACGATTTTTTTTAAATATATTTCCTTTTTTTTTTTTTTGGAGTACCTGTCATTGTCTGATGGTCAGCCTTATGCCTCTCTAGAGCCAAAATATAGCTCTTCCACAGGCCCATGGTCCAGGGACAGTTCCTGACGGCTCTCTCATAAGCAGATAACACTAGGTCTTTAATTTTCAACTGACGATCCTGAGGATGAACAGAAAAAAACAATGAGCAAAGTCACAGATTTATTTGTGAATTGTTTTTAGCAGTCCAAGTAGATGAGTAACCCAGCCAACATCCACTAAGAGCAGCTCTTTGACTAAAACTAGGGATGTCAACGATTAATATCTGCTCACTGCTCTTCAAAATGACTTCATCAAAGACTGAATGATGATATCTGCTGAAGTATGAATCATGGTTGCATCGTTCTTTAAAGCATACCAAGTTTGTTAGTAGGGATGAGCATTTGGAGTGCTAAAGTATGGCAGATAAAACTAGCCAAATATTCTATTCTTTTGTATGGAAACTGATCCAACACTCTGTCCTAAAGTGGTGCAGGTTATTAGTTACATAGGAGGCTTTAGATACAATACAGCACTTTGCAAAACCAAATAATAACCCCCTATATCCATTAGGCAAAGCAGCTCCGTGACTCACAGTGTGAGGTGCATATAATTTAGTTAAGCATCTCAATTTAAACACCTAAGAGAATACAAGCATGAAGGCTTGATTTAATTACTTCACACATCCATAGCTGCCAGGAATTCAACTGCCTGAATGGGCTCCACCAACACACTCCAGCCCATAGCCCTTAATGCAGAAGTTCATTAAGTTCAGTCATTGAATCAGAAAGCCCAAATGGATTGCAGCTTTGGCTGCTAATATGGGGAGGTGTTATTCTCTCCACTTCTCGTTCTCATTTTTCTCTCCCTACACACCTCCCACCATCTCTCTTTCTGCCTCGTTAACTCGCTGTTTTCCCTCCCTCCATCTGGTGAGGAGCTGGCTCTTCTAATATGTTCTCAGCTGCAACTGAACTACGCACTGCTACGCATTTGTGGCTTGTGCATCTCATTAGCATCCCATTAAAGCAATTAATATGTTTCTGAATAAACGGAGGGAGGTGTGGGATTGGCACATGTGTGGATCATTCAGTTTGTGAGCTGTGCACAGTGCTGTTTGGTGAAAGCAGACATGTGCTTACGCAAGTCGCTCACCAGATATGTGGTGTATTTGATCCACAGGTCCGGCACAAGGCAATTCTCCGCCAGCGCTCGCTCAAATATTATCTGGACACGAGCCGGATCTCCTTCCTTCATTTCAAAATCTATGTAGGCTTGATACTCTGCCAGCTTTGGAGTTTCAGAGACCAGCTAGAAATTAAAAAAGAACAGCGTTAGAAAGCTCAAATGAGAAACAACATCTTTTGAACGTAACGGTGAGAAAAAAAAAAGACCAGATTATATGAAGAGATTTATTTTATTTGTGTTACTTATTTATTTGATTTGGGGTTTGTTTTAAAATTTCAATTTAGTTTTGTTATTTACATTTACATTATATTTACATTTTGTAATTTAGCAGACGCTTTTATCCAAAGCAACTTACAAATGAGGACAATAGAAGCAATCAAAACCAACAAAAGAGCAATAATATGCAAGTGCTATTAGTATATTACTATAGTGCTATACTTCAATTTCACAAAGAAACATGCAGCATTTTGTCCAAGCAATAATAAAAGGACACATTTAGTTTATAATTTCTTAAATCTCATTTTGTAAAAAAAAATCGAATCATGAGTTGAGTGAATCATTACATACCTAGTAACTGGGTAATTTAAGTGTGACATGGGCAACACAGCTGAACATTAGCAACAGCCATTTCTTTCATCAATTCAAACAATTTGTGAAGTACAGTGTAATTCAATGCACTATTAAAAATCACTTCTTTCTGGGAACATGGCACAGGCTTCGCTTTCTATAGCAACCTAGTCAGGTTGAAACATGCAGCATTTTGTCCAAGCAATAATAAAAGGACACATTTAGTTCATAATTTCTTAAATCTCATTTTGTAAAAAAAAATCGAATCATGAGTTGAGTGAATCATTACATACCTAGTAACTGGGTAATTTAAGTGTAACATGGGCAACACAGCTGAACATTAGCAACAGCCATTTCTTTCATCAATTCAAACAATTTGTGAAGTACAGTGTAATTCAATGCACTATTAAAAATCACTTCTTTCTGGGAACATGGCACAGGCTTCGCTTTCTATAGCAACCTAGTCAGGTTGCATTTGTTCTCTGACTTCAGTTCTTCCTGTGATTTGAGTGAATTATTAGTTGAATATGAAAATCTGCAGCTTAAATAACAGAATCTAAGTGTCAATTGTACATATTAATTTCTGGGAACTGCTTCACTGCCACACAAACAGGGTCACTCATTAGTTTATGTATTTGTCAGGCCGAAGACTACAAGCTTGACTACAAGCTTTAAAGTCAACATGATACCAATATACCCATTTTGTTTCTCTAATGTGCCGAATGTCCAAGAAAAACAAGATATTCTAAGAGGGGAAAAAAGGTAGAGCAGCTGATTTTGTCCATCGGGAATCAATTAAATAGTGAAAAGTGTGCGGATTTTGCAGTCAGCTGTGAAGGATTTCCGCCATCACCAAATGGTTAAGCAGCCTTAGTGATGTCAGCCAAAAAGGAAGTTGTTCCAGAGATGGTTCAAGTCTTTAATGTTTGTTGAAAAACCAAGATGAAGAAATAAGGAAACAAAAAAGACCAGGAATGTAATAAAGTAAATAATGTCATTAATTAAGATTTCATATTTTTTACTTCTCCTGAATAGGTGCTGATGAGCATATGCTTGTGTACAAAGAGCTTTTATTGCTACAGATGTTTTATTTAATCAGATTCTCTAAATGACACTTGTGTAGACTGATTTTGGCTTCAAGCAGGCTACTGCTATAAAATATTTTAAAATCACAATCACCATTTTTACCATCACAGCTGCTGCCAGACACATAATTTCACATTAATTTATAATAGAAACCTCAAATCAGAAAACCAAATGATCTCTACAGCAGTGAGATAAGTGTGCAGTTACCAAAGCCTCCTCGAAAGGTTTGCATTTCTCCAACTGTTGCAGGGCACGTCTGTACTGGCGTGTGACCATCTCAGGTACACCATCGTCGGCCCAATCAGAGTATTCCGCATATGTTCCCTCCATATCTACAGAACACAATATCAACACAAAAAGATCAGAAAGCAAGCTTTCTGAAAGCAATCTTACAAAACATTTTCTGTGTTGCAGGAACACACAGTGTTTTGTTCTGTTTCAAAGATGTTTTTCTGTTACTATTGCATTTCTCACCTATGTCTTCACTACAAGGTAACTTTCTGACAAAGAAAAAAGGCTATATAAACATGAGCCGTGCTGTACAAAGGCCTAATCTGTGAACTGGCTCTCTTAGCTAAGTGCAATGTGTTCAGAGCGTTCTCCTCTGCATCTCCGGTGCCAAAAGCAGCTGGCAAGAGAGAAGCTGAAAAAAAGAAGAAGAAAAAACCCCGCTCACAAAACCAGACCATCTGGCTATCTGCAGGCTGCTCCTGGCTCTCCTGTCAACAGCCTGTGTTACATTGTCTGGCAGGGCTGGTGTCTACCTGACAGGACCTATATTACTTGGCTTTCAGAAATGCACATGAAAGGAAACCACATGCAACGATCAATATTATTTGTAACTTAAGCCTTAATCAACCCCATCTCACCAGATTTCAGTTCGGTCTAGACATGTTGTTCTCAGTTTATTTTATTTCCGCCAAATTGCGCAATCTCATAGTCATAGTGTAAATTATTTTGGCATCCGTTCTCCCGACCCTTTTTGTCGGTGGACACAAGTTTTTCCGATTATTTCTTCCAACACTGGAAAAAGAAAAGAAAGAAAGTGGAGGACTGAAGGAGCAAAACGAGAGAAATAGAACAGCTCTCACCCATCAGAGGTACAGCTAGCTGCCGCCTAAAGAGCGTGTGTATGCGTTCGAGCTGGGCTTTCAACAACTCTTGCTGGTCCTGTGATGGAACGCTTCCAGGAGGAGGCTGGAAAATAGAGAAAAGGTGTTAAAACACCTATACAAGACAAACAAAACACTGCAATCATTTAAGAAATTTATTTAAAGGGGTCATATGATGTTGCTAAAAAGAACATCATTTTGTGTATTTGGTGTAATGAAATGTGTTTATGCGGTTTAAGGTTCAAAAAACACATTGTCCACATACTGTACATTATTGTTTCTCCTTTATGCCCCGCCTTTCTGAAACGCGTCGATTTTTACAAAGCTCATCGGTCTGAAAAGCGAGGTGTGCTCTGATTGGTCAGCTATGCAGTGCATTGTGATTGGCCGGATACCTCAAGCGTGTGACGGAAATGTTACGCCCCTACCATACTGTAATGCCGTCTCCCAGCACGACCAGACAAAACCAATAAAAACCCATTACAAACGAGGCATTTGTTACATCCAGTGGGGACCTAATTACTGATTATAATGACTTATACTGTCTTTTTACGCGCTGCGTTGCATCGCGCCGCGTAAACATAAAACCATGTCTGCATTTGTGATCAGAGAAATGACAAACAACAATCGCTACTCTACACTGCTGAAAACTCGCGTTTGAATCAATGGCAAATCCTTTAAATGAAAACTTACTTACAAACTGTGAGTCAGAATAGCCGGCATTGTTGTCTACTCTACCAGGATCAGGAAACAGTCCTCCATAAAATGCGCTGCACACATCTTAATATTTGGGTTGAACTGGAATAGTGTTGTAAATACAACTTAACCACTGATTTCTAGTCGTGTCCTTCCAAAAGAGCCGGTGGCTTCAGTGAGTGGAGGTCAGCGGCTAGAGTGAGCGGAGGCCGGCAGCTTGATTGAGCGGAGGCTGGCGGGCTTGCGGCAACCACATGTGACGACCCTGGGCTGGA